ACATAATTATTGTAATTTAATACAGATTCTATAACGTTTTTAGTATTTACTGCTTATTAAATACTGTATTTGTACTCTCTTATGCTGTCAGATTCATTCTCCTTGACTTTTGAGTATAAATAGGTACGAGCGTTGAGTCTTTTGAATAACTGCTCGTGCTTCTACTTGTACCTTCTGCTCGTATCTATTGCAACTCGTGCCTCTTTTCCAATCATCACTCTTTGACCAGCCTTCATATCATAACACGTCATCTTCCAATCACTTTAATATGTAAACTCGATTTTTCCAATACAACGGCATGTTGTAAAACTAAATGAACCGAACTATTTCTAAACTGAAATATTTACAACATCAAAATCTTTTAACTTTTGAATGTAACTCTATCTAGTTTCCTGACAGAATAAAAAGATATCCATCTAATGACCTTTATAGGTAAAGATACCATGTGGTTAAGCGTAGAGAGTAATCTTCCTAAGATAAAGCAGTAAAAATTTACTTGCACATGATACTTGCATCAAATTAATAAATAGATAATATGTGTTTGCATATAAAATTTTCACTTAATCATAATTAATTTTTATATATTCTCGCCTAATTTTTTCACTTAACTAATAAAGTAACATAGTTCGCTATAAAACACTAGTGGCTAATAAGTAGGAATAGTAAGTTTTTATGAAATCAAAGTGCTCATCGCCAATAGCTTACACGGGGAATTAGAGAGCAAAATCAACCTATATATATAAATGATTTTTACTATAAGGTAAATTTTAAAATATCTAGACGAATGTAACGTGTTGTAACGACTCGATCGGTCGTTTTGAGCTCTAGCATGTCGTTCAGCAGTTTGAGACCTTGAGTAGCTTCACTTCATGTGTTATGACTAGCACGCGCAGTTGGTTTTGATTTTCGGGAAGTTCGGAGTTGATTTGGAAGGATAATTCTCAATTCGAAAGCTTTAAGTTGGAAGAGTTGATCAAGGTTTAAAACAACCTCAGAATCGGGATTCGAAAGTTCCTATAAGTTCAGAAGGTGATTTCAGACTTAGGCGTATGTTCGGGTTGAGTATCGGATGGTCCAAGAGCGTTTCAACGCTTAATATCGGAAGTTTGTATTTTGAAGGTTTTGAAATTTGCTAAGTTTGACTTGGAATGGATTTCGGAATTATCAAACTCCGGATGGAGTTTTGGGACCTTGGATAGGTTCATTTAGTTGATTGAAACTTGTGTGTGACGTTTGGTCGTAACCAGAATGTCTAAGTATGATTCGGACGCATTCGGTGAAGTTTCAATGTTTGAAAGTTAAGAGAAGGTTTTGATCCTCGATTCATGGTTTTGATGTTATTCATGGCATTTCGAGTCTTTGGGGAAGTTTGGATAAGGTATTGGGACTGGTTGGTATGATTGAACGGGGTCCCAGGGGCCTCGGGGTGGTTTCGGACCAAGTTTGAGTGTTTTGCTAGTGCATGTTTCTGGTGTTGTCCTTGCGAACGCGGTGGGGAGCACGTGCTCGCGGAGAAGGATTTGAGCAAGAGGTTGTTGTGCTTCGCGTTCGCGATTAGCTTGTCGTATTCACGAAGGTTTGCGCAGTGGTGCTTCGCGTTCACGAATAAGGATTTGAGTAGGAGGTCGTTGTGCTTCGTGTTCGCAATTGACGTGCCGCGTTCACCAAAAGTTTGGGCAGTGGTGCTCCGCGTTCATGAAGGAGTAGTTGACCTGGAGTCTTGGCCTTCGCGTTCGTGGAGGCGTGGTCGCATTCACGTTCGCGAAGATGCGGCCTAGTAAAGCAACACGTTTGTGGGCCTTGTCTTGCATTCATGATGATGATTTTTGGAGTAGGAGTTTGAGTATGCTTCGCTAATGCGAGGCACACGCCTCATTCGCGAAGAAGGTTCACCTGGATAGAATATAAGTTAGCAAATTGAGAATTTGCTCATTTTTATCTCTTTTTTCACATTGGAGCCGATTTTGGGGCGATTTTGAAGAGCCATTTTCATCATATATCACGAGGTAAGTGATTCCTACTCATTTTGAGCTAAATACATGGATAATATTTGGATTAAAATATGGAAATTATTAGAAATTGTGGAATTTTGGAAGAAAATCTAGAAATAACATTTTTGGATTTTGACCACAATATTGGATATGAAATTGGGAATAAATTATATATTTGAATTTGTGGTGCTATGAGTAGTATTTATTTTCAAAAACTTTTGGAATTCGGGCATGTGGGCCTGGGGGTTGACTTTGTTGACTTTTTGTGTAGAGATGGGAATTATTTCTAATTGGTTAAATTACGAGTTTGAGTATATTTTGATTAGTTTGTACATTCTTTGGCTAGTTCGGATCGTTTAACATTGGCTTGAAGTGTTAGAGATGTGTTGGAGCCGGTTATCAAAAACTACTCATAGTCGGTGCTATGAGTAGTATTTATTTTCAAAAACTTTCGGAATCCGGGCACGTGGGCCCGAGAGTTGACTTTGTTGACTTTTCGTGTAGAGATTGGAATTATTTCTAATTGATTAAATTACGAGTTTTAAGTATATTTTGATTGGTTTGTACGTTCTTTGGCTAGTTTCGGATCATTTAACATTGGCTTGAAGTGTTAGAGATGTGTTGGAGCCGGTTATCGGATTTTGGAGCGATTTAAGTTTCCTGTCTAACCTTATGAGGGAGAATTTATCCTATAGGTGTTATGTTTTATATGTGCTACATATTGTGAGAGCTACGCATGTATGAAGTGACGAATATCCGTGCATATGCTAGAATTTATGATTAGGTCAAGGTAGACTTAGACTCACTCTATGCTTTAATGGTAATACTTGAGTTATTCTTGCACTTTAATTTATATTTTTTCCTGAGATTAGACTTACATAAAGTAGCGGACTTGCTACTTAGATATTTTGCGAGTTGCTTGATTAGTAGTAAAATTGTACTTTATTTTACGAATTTCTCCCACGTTGTACGAAATTGTCGGATAAGTTATCTAAATTTCATAACTCACATATATATTCGTGAGTAGAGCCAGTGACCCGTCAAGTTACACTATTCCTAGGGGATCGGGTTGAACGCCTCAATAGTACTATTATGGATCGGGTCATACGATTCGGTGGTATTATGAGATACATTTATGGTTCAGGCTGGTCGACCATCGACATTGTATATGATTATTATGGGATCGGACCATACGCCACAATAAGAAATCATGCCATTACTCTTATGGGATCGAGTCGTTCGTCTCAGCAGAATCGTGCAAATATTTGATAAGGAGTCGGCGTAATTATGAGTTTTCTTGACTTGAAATGTGACCATTTATTTGGTGTTGACCATTATGTATTCCATTTGAGGAAGTATCCAGTATTTGAGGACTTCATGTTTACTCTTCAGTTGAGGATCGTATTATGTACCTATATCTATTTTCACTGCTTTACTTGTCATACTTCATACCTGTCTGCTTTTATTGTACTTGATTTATTGGACCACTAGTAAGTGTCGATGTCGACCCCTCATCACTAGTTCTTCGGGGTTAGGCTAGATACTTACTGGGTACGCGTTAATTTACGTACTCATACTACACTTCTGCATTAATTGTGCAGGTACTGAGATAGGTTCATTTGGTGGTCATCTTGGCACATAAGCGCAGTTGCTGAGGGGACTTTATGGTGATCTGCATTTCATGTTACGATCCGCAGTACAGTAAGTCTTCATCATATTTATTTATTCAATTTATCATGTCTATTTTATATTCCAGACAGACGTTGTATTAGTATTATACTCCCTGATAGATGCTCATGTACTTGTGACACCGGATTTTATGGATTTAGATTTTGCTCTTGATTGTATTCCTCTATGATTCTTCTGGTTTATATTTTTGCTTTATTCGAACATTTAAAATATTAACATCTATATTTTTTATTTAAAAAAACGATACCACTCTGTATTTCTTTAATAGTTTCGAAATGCATTTTAGATTAACTATTGACATGTTGATTTAATAGTTGGCTTGCCTAATAGTAGCGTTGGGCGCAATCACGACTTACGGTGGATTTTGAATCGTGACTATATAACATGAGTTATTAGCAATTGTCTTTCAGGTAACTTGATTGTTATATATTTTTTGGTCAAATAGGCAAAAACTTTATTCAACCAAGTATAATTATGTAACCACCAAAGGATGTGGTGCAGTGGATGAGACTGTTCCTCCCTTAACAAGAGGTCTCGAGTTTGAGCCCTGGGTATGGAAAAATACTTGGAAGGGAGTGCTTTCCCCCGAATGGGGCCCTACGCGACGCGAATCCGGATATAGTCGGGCTTCAATATGGATACCGAACACTGGGTGGGAAACCAAAAAAAATTATAATTATGTACATCCGCTAGCTCAATTGGACTATAACTAGATCCATATTAAAATTCATGCCAAACGAAAAACCCTTCAGCCACTTAACAGTTTCCTCTATAAACTATCCATTTACATAGACTAGGTAGGGATACTTATTTTATTTGATTTTTTATTGTCCTCTAATGTGCAGTTGAAGAACCATATTTCGAGTTATCTGAGTGCACTCTTTCCTTTTCCCCTGAAATCTACGCATATTCCTTTGAATCTAAGTGTTATATACTAGTACTGCAAACAAAAACGCCAATATGATTGCTCGAGGTCTGTCACTCTTAGGGGTCGTTTGGTAGGGTGCATTGGAGAAAATAATGCATGCATTAATTTTTGGTATTAGTAATCCCTTGTTTGGTACACTTTTTCAACCTATGTATTACTAATGCAAGTATTAGTTATACAACATATTTGGTATTATCCTATGTATAACTAATACATAGCAAACTATGTATTAGTTTTCCGAAGTGATCGATTCCTCACTGGATTCAATGCCCTACGAAGGAGCCCCGGCACGTCCTCAGGTTTCAGGTTGCTAGCAGTTCTTGCCAATTCAGGAGAGATGGTCTGTTTCTTCTTTGACCATTAATTTTCTCTGGCTGTCGCGAATCGGAGTTATGGATTCTAAATATGCAAAACGGATGAGCTTCATTTTTGCATTTGGTGAGTCTGTTGGATACGTGTTTTTTATTATCTCGGATTTTATCCTCATTACGAGTGGCCTAAAAGCAGAAAGGAAGCTTTTGACTGAAGAGGAGGAGTCTAAGGAAACAGAAGGCGAAATCAAGAAAATTAGAATGGATAGAATTATGAGATTGATGGCTGTGGCAGCTAATATAGCTGACCTTATAATTGCCTTGGCTGAAATTGAGCCGAATACATTCCGCAACCATACTCTTACTTTAGGCATATTTAGTGGCTTAGTTTCTGCATGGGCTGGTTGATATAGAAACTGGCCCTCCTGAACATACATAAGTTATCAAGATTGATGGCCAATTTCAAAGCATATGAATGTAACAAACTTCAGTTATATATGATCAGCGGGAGCTGAAACGTTCTGATTTACTATTCATGTAAGAGTTGATGACGCTTTTCTTTTTCACTTTTTTCTTACAATATACATTGCTGTAGCTAATACTACTATTGATTAGGTCATTCAAAAATCACTTTTAAAAAGTTTGGATAACTCAAGCATGAGCAGAGGGGCGGTTCAATAAACGTAGTGACCTGAAGCAAAACTTCAACAAGAGGCCTTAAGTTTTTTGTTAAAAAAAAAAAGACAAAAAAGAACTTCATATATAATTTCATTTGAAGTCCATTTTTCTAGATTTTTTATATGCAAAGTTATTAATAGTTTGTTATAATCGATTTCTTCTAATAATTCACTACTAGAAATCCGCTAAAAACCGACCAAAATTTTCCGACCAACGTTGGTTGGTCAAAACAAGCGACCAAAAATCGTCCAACTTGGACGGAAATTGGAAATTTAACAATGCTTGTGTGATGACCCAAAAGGTCATCTCGTATTTTAGAACGCAATTCGGGGTTCCGAGGCCTTCAAGACCTCATTTTCTTTCTTCTTGATTTGCCTGCGCAGTCCAGGCGTATATCCGGAAAGCCCTTATGTGAAATTTTTTAAGAAATAATGAATTTTGGCTTAAAAGATGATTATTATTGACTTCGGTCAACGTTTTGGCTAAACGGACCCGGACCCGTGTTCTGACGGTCCCGAGGGTCCGCAGTAAAATACGGGACTTGGGCGTATGCCCGGAATCAAATTCCGAGGTCCCTAACCCGAGAAATAAATTTTTCAAAATTTTTTTTACTGGAAATATAATGGTTTTTAGAAATTTATCAATGCTTGATTTTGATGGTATCGGGCCCGTATTTTGGTTATGGAGCCCCGTACAGGTTTAACATGGTATTTAAATTATGTCTGTGAAAATTGGTAAGAAACAGAGTTTATATGACGTGATTCGGACCCTCGATTATGAAAATAGAAACTTTAAGAGTTCTTGAAATTTTCATTGATTTTGATGCTAAATCCGTAGTTTTAGGTGTTATTTTAGTGATTTGATCGCACGAGTAAGTCCGTATGATATTTTTAGACTTGTGTGCATGTTTGGTTTGGAGTCCCGAGGACTCGAGTGAGTTTCAGATAGGTTTCGGGATGTTTTGGACTTAGAGATTTCTGCTGTTTTGATGTTGCAGGTGCATAGATGTATCCTTCTTTGCATTCGCGAAGGAACTCTCGCGAACGTGAAGAGTAAAATTGTATGAGGGAAAATTCCTTCTACGCGAACGCGAGGCACAGGTCTCGAACGCGGAGCGTTGGGGGCATTACCCTTCGCGAACGCGACCTGGCTATCACGAACGCGAAGGCCATTTTGGCAGGGACCTGGGGAGGGGTGAAATACTCTACGCGAACGCGGCAAACGGCTTGCGAACACGAAGGTCGGGGGTGTGAACCTTCATGAACGCGTATGGTATCTCGCGAACACGAAGGCTCTTCTGGCCAATGCTTCACGAACGCGACAGGCTTCTCGCGAACGAGAAGAAGACCTGTCCAGCGATTTTAAAACAGAACCTAAGTCGGAATTTGCTCAAAATTTCATATTTTCTTCCATAGAACTCGACCTTGGGTGATTTTTGAAGAGGGATTTCAACATCAAATCATAGTTTTACGTTTTTAAACTCTTTTCTTTCATTTTCTATCAACACCCATTAGATTTCTAGGCCTAAATCTTGTTCTTTAAGGGTAGAAATTAGGAATTTTGGGGAAATTGAGAATTTTACAAATTTAAAAATTTAGACCTCGATTTGGGGTCGGATTCCGAAACTAATTACTTATTTGGGCTCATGGGTGAATGGGTTTTGGTCCGAACCTCGAGTTTTGACCAAGCGGGCCCGGGGTCGGATTTTGACTTTTTAGGGAAAGTTTGGGAAAATTTAATTTATGCATTGTAGTTGATTCCCTTAGCAATAGTTGTTGATATTGAGTTAATTGTGGCTAGATACGAGGGGATTGGAGGTGGAATCTAGAGGGAAAGTGATAGTTGAGGCTTGATTTTGGCCGTGGAATTGAGGTAAGTGTTTGGTCTAACCTTAACTTAAGGGAATAGGTGTTGTTGTCTTACTTGCTACGTGTTTAATTGTTGGGTACGATGTATAGGTATGACGACGAGTATCTATACGTCGTTGTTGGGTCATAGCATGCAAATGAGCCTTATACTTGTAACCATTATGTCTCTCATCACGTATTGTTCATGCTTAAGCCGGTTACTCTACATGTTGAACAAGTTTAGTTATATTTTTTTGTTATTGAGTAATTGTTGAGTGTTGACTCAAGTTGAAACTTACATTGTGAATTTAACTGTTGAAACGAGATTGGTTATAGCTGATTCCCTTACCGGAATGTTATTGTTTCTATTGTTTGGGTGGGAAAAGAGTGATAAAGCACGAAGGGTGATACCGTGTACATTCATACTTATGCATATGGTGAGGAAGAGTGATAAAGCACGAAGGGTGATGCCGTGCACATTTACATTTATATTGATGCATATGGTGAGGAAGAGAGATAAAGCATGAAGGTTGATGCCGTGCACATTTCTATTATTCATATGGTGAGGAAGAGTGATAAAGCACGAAGGGTGATACCGTGCACATTTTTATTATTGATTGCATGGTGAGGATTGAGAGTAAAAGCACGAAGGGTGATGCCGTGCATTTTCTGTTTGCTGTGATTATTTCCTGTTACTAGTTCAAGTGCACTAATTAGTTAATTTCCGTTACTACTGTGATTTCTTATTCTGGTACCCCCATAGCATGTTGCCTCTTCCCTCTAATTTATGTTTAGCTTCGATTATTGTTATTTTGTTAGTATATTATTTAACTGCATCAGTTTATGTTGTTTGTCGTGTCCTAGCCTCGTCGCTACTTCACCGAGGTTAGGCTCGGCACCTACCAGTACATGGGATCGGTTGTACTGATACTACACTCTACACTTTCTGTGCAGATCCCGGTACTGGACCATAGTTCGAGGTTGCTGCCTTCAGTCCATTGGAGACCCAAGTAGTCCTGCAGGCGTCCGCCTGCCCTGGCGTCCTCTTCTATCCTATTTCATTTATATTTTATCTACTTTCGAGATAGATGTATATTTCTTTGTTCAGACCATTGTTTGAAGTATTCATAGACTGTTCGTAAGTTTGTGACACCAGTTCTGGGTAGATTTTATTACGGCTTCGTTATTAGTATAAAGATAATTTGTTAAATTCTGTTCTTCCGCATTTATTCTGATGATTTACTTTTGTTAACTTGTAAATTATTAAAAGATAAATGAATAAGGTAAAATATTCTGTAACGTTGGCTTATTAGCGAGTATAATGTTAGGCGTCATCACTATCCCGACGGTGGAAGAATTCGGATTGTGACAATATATAAATATTAAAATAAATTATAGTATTTATTTAAACGATGAAAGTAAATATTACTACAATGACATAGTAGTTGAATTCAATATCTTTTGAATGCAAAAATAATGATTTAATACTTAGTTGTATAATATTTTGAAATTATACATATTTTATAATATGAGATACGAATGTTTTAAGTTGTATCTTACCTCACATCTCTTTATGAATATGTTTTGTCTTCTATTATTTCATCCTCGTTTCTCCAGCTTTACATTTTAACTAATTTAATTCTTAATGTTATACTATAATCGATTTTGTTCTATTTTCTGATTTCTTCCCTTTTATGGACAAAAAGTTATGTACTCTAAAATTTATGTAAAATTGAAAAGTAATTTTATACGTATGATGAATTCGAAAAGAATAAAATTGGACTATTCTGCTCATTATTTAATTCAAATACTTAATTAATATTTCAGGCGAATCTCATAATGCTCCTATTTAAATCAGGGCAGCTTAGATGACCTTGGTTGACGTGCTAATGTATATTTTGTTTGATTTGATATTCATATTTTCATTAATATTTACAACCCAAAAATGATGCATAATTTTGGAAGGCATGGTTTCTTTTTTAAGGAGCTAGCCAAACATGATCATCAATTAAATATTTATCATTTTCAGAAACTTACGCTTTACTTCTTTATAGGTTTTATTTTATAACTCAAAAATATTTTTCAATAATATTTGTATAATATTTTTAGAAGTTTATGCTCATCAATACACTGATACACAAGCATCATGCGACCCTAAGACTATGCAATATTCAAGATAACTTTTTAAATTTGAAATTGTGTTTTTTTCCCACAAATTTGCTTAAGTACCTCTATTTTTAATTTTTTATTAGCATCTTGGTTGATTATATTTATATTTTGTTAGTTTAGGAGCTCGGAAGTCGAGATATCAAAACTAAAGCTTGGCCAAACCTAAAAGAGGACGGATACATTATATCTTTGCATCGTCACAATTGCAATACTATGCAATTGTTCTATACGCTAATACACATATAATTTAATGGTAAGATGTATATAAGGTAATTTTTTTAATGAATTAAAGTTCAAAATATAATGATTTCTTACTTAGTCAAATAAGGAAAGACTTAATAAGTAAAATTTGAGCTAATTTTAAATTCCTAAAAATTAGAAAATAATCAAATGACCATTTTGTCTAGTGTAAATCTATTTTATTTTGACCTCTTTAATAAGATATTAAATAATGAGTTTTCTAATTACGGAAATTTAGACTTTCCTACTGAGCTATGATATGAAGGGGCGTTTCTACACTCTTTGCTAGAGTAAAATTAGGGATTCTAATTAAAGAAGGAGTTTACTTCTTCTTCTTTTCTTAAATATTCCTTTTTTATCATACGACAAATTTTGTTTTTTCCAAAAGAGTATTATATGTGTATTTACAATTTTATCCATTATAGAGTGAACTTATNATATATTTGACGATAAATTATATATACTAATTAGGAT